TATGATTGATTGATTATCAACCACAATACATTGAATATTCTTCAAATATTCTAATATTATTTTTATATATCCAATACAAATGCAATAATCTATTTTTTCCAATTAATCCACCTTTTTGTTTAGGGTGCTTCACCTTTGTGAATTATTCTTACACTTCTAAAATTTGTATAAGGGCTTTCTACGTTCTTATATTCACAAAAATATTTCTATAACTTGTAAGGTATGAATAATATAACTTCTGGAATAAGTTACCCCCACAATTTATCAATTAGAAATGTATTATATGATTAGTATAGGAACCCAACAAATCTTGGCTTAGGCCCGAACTTAGATTTCATCTACTTTTTTAAATTTCAATTTATATTATATTTTCCACTCCAAACCATATAAAATAATGACTATGTCACATGAAAGTCCATGCACTTTCATAATTTGTCTTTGTCATCTACAAATTATACAAATAAAAAGTCACTTTCATTTGTTTTAAAGACAATGCAACCTCATTATGTATTACGTCAATACAAATTTAATTTGGTCATTCAAATCCCAAATGTACAATTTCTTTGAGTCAAATGAATGGAACACGCAACTATTCAATGAACCATCTTTATATTGACACTATACTTGCCAATAATGACGTTCCTACATGTTTATCTTTTGATTAGCGTGATACAAGTGTTTTCACTTTCATTTCTGAATATCCACCCACATGAAGGGTTACTAGATCGACAAGAGGAACATTAATGACATAATTCTATAGAATAATCTGTTATTCACACAAGGATATTCATTTTAAGAAGATAGCATTCAAAGTTGCCATTTTCTTACCGTCAATGGACAAGAAAGGAGAGAAATCAAACTGAAACAACCATATAGGCAAGCTCCTATACTTAAAAACAGTTTAATCCATTTCATGTAATGATATTGATCACCATTCTCAAAATCAAGTTTGTAACTCTCTTATATCTTCAGCACAAAGAACCTGTTTTATTGTGTAAACATCTTTATGAAAGGAAAAAAATAAATAAATAAATAAATCAACTAATTTTCCAACCACCACCACAATCATTGTCATAAGGATCTTTCATCAAACACATGTGAGTAATTCTTTAGCATTATCAGACAAGCGGCTTGGATATTCTGGTACCTACAATAGGTACCGGAATATTGTCACGGAATATCCAATTGTGTAAAGAGCAGAAACAGGTCCTCCATTACTTGCCATGGACTACATCCAGTTGCCTTTTCAATAATTGTGCACCCAAGAACCCAAATATCGGCCGGAAATCCTTGTTCTTCGCTACGAGCTACCTCTGGCGCCATGTGCACCGGAGTACCTGAAAACGCTGGCTTTGAAGAACTACTACCTTCTTGCGTTTGGCACAGCCAAAATCAGCAATCTTGACAACATCTTTGCCGATCAAAATATTCTGACCCTTGATGTCACAGTGCACCAATCCATTCATGTGATGATATTGTTGGAGGAATTTTGTGGATAGTGACGCCAAAATAAGTATAAAGATGGTTTGTAAATCCGTGCCGAAAATTGGACAGAGTAACGGCACAAACAAGAAGAAGAAGAAAGTAGGGACAAAGCTGAGGCAAGAGTTGGACTCTTTGTCCTTAAGTCGAATTTGCCCCGCAACGGTGCCTATGGATTTCGACAATCGACTCCCAAGATACAACGGCTACACTTGTGTTTGTAGCACTCCAAAATAAAAGTACAACGAACCAAATTTAGGCTTATACACTCCAAGGATGAAATGAAGGAAAATCAAAATAGATGAAATGATTTTGATTTTGGATAGAAGAGAGGATGAGAGATGTTTTGCATATCAAAAAAATGTGTGGAATAGGACACCCAAAGGGTCCTATTTATAGACCATGAAAAGGTGTGGACGAAATGGTTGAGGCCAAACCATGCACCCTTTCCAAATAATGCACCTTTATGAAAAGATGTCTATTCACTGATTTTCGTCCTTTTTCGTAATTTCTCATTCATCCGATATTGGTTTTCAAAATGTCAAATATACCCTTCAATACATGCCAAATACGGTCGATCCCCGTTTGTGCACCCCGAAACGGCGAAGTGGCAAACAATTTTGCCTAAACGGATTGAGTCGAGCTTTTAAGTATTTGGCCGAAGTCGATACGAAGTCACTTTAATCGATTTTGAATTCTCGATTTATTTAACCAATATCCAACAGATATTTCAATCCTTCAATCATTTGATGAGTATAAAATTGAATCATGGACTCACCTAAAGAATCTCCCTGCTTTATAATGTGATCAGAAAGTGTACCGCCAGATACATACCCCAAGAACAGATCATAAAAAGGCCTTTGATTCTCACATGTAACATCAGAACCCAAACACTTAAATACTTAAGGAGAATTAAGCTTAGAAATCAAATATTTCTCCTTCTGCAACAAGCTAGAACAAGAAAGATCAGTTGACTTCATTCTTCATAGCAAAAAGCTCGCGGAGTCCATGGTGGCAATAGACACCACGGCGGACAAGCCCCAGGCTGTATAACTACATTTATACGCATGTAATCTTGAAATTGGTACCCTCAAATTTATTGGGTTGTCGTTATTCTTTGTTGTTAGCGTCTTTATACTGAGAATATTTGTCATAGTCGACCACACATTTTCTTTTCTTTTCTCTATACAGATTGTTTCCATTTATAAATTGTGGCCTTTTCTCTGTGGTGAAGTTACTTAGAGAAGACTTCTCGAGTTGTAAGTGAACCATGTGGGTGGCGAAAGATGAAAGGCTTAAAAGGTTTAGGCCGACTGATCGATGGTAGGTCCATAACTACCACCGATCGGCCATGGGTGTGTTATAAGCAGCCCCAAAGAAGCCTTACCAGGAACCGAACAATTGGTTCCAATTTATTCCTTCAATGACTGGCAAAACATCACTTCATGTGAAAGTTCGTAAATTTTCACTTAGCACAACATGCCTTTTGATATTAACAGAAATTACAACCAAATGCATATCAGTAATTGATGCAATTACAAAAGTCCAATGAATGCAGATTTTAGTTTTATCCAAAAACTCAAAATTTTAGTTTTATCCAGTAACTAACTTTTCAAGAACTCCCAATATACGTAATGACTGGGAATCACATTTGACAGTACAAACATACGGGTATATGAAAGAATGCAACTTTTCACAAGCACTTTTATTTATGTTGCCATTTAACATGCAAACCATATGAAATAATATTTTACTGTTCAACCGCTCATAACATGGATATGCAACCAAATCTTATGCAAATGATTTCATAACAAGATGGCCATTACGAATTAAATACTTTCATGAAACATCACTGATATAAGTTGGTAGAAGTAGCCACTCTCAATAACAAGCAAGGCAGATCACAGCACTCCGATGCAAGGCCATCGACCCCCATAGGGCGTTCTACGAATACGCCGGGAGGAGCGTTCTACCACTACGCCCAGGGGGCGCTCTACCACAACCCTCAGAAGGCGTTCTACCACTACGCCCAAGGGGCATTCTACCACTACGCCCAGGGGGCGCTCTACTACAACCCCCAAAGGGCGCTCTACCACTATCCCTAGAAATCATTCTACCTCTAAGTGAAGTCCTCAACAGGCATGATATTGCTTGTCCAAACACTTAGCCATAAAACCTTTAATGAATTGACCAGGTTCCATGGCCACTGATACAGGTGCAATCTTCAGGCGGGAAGTTAAGGACTCCTCACCCAGAACGTGGGTGTAGCGGGAATACCAACGTAGGACACGTGGCACCACAACCGCCCAGCGGTTACCCAGTGCCTAATATCTATAAATACCCCCGGATGTGACACAGGTAAAGGATTTTTTTCTCTCATTCTCGTTTTAGCCATCTGAATTTCAAATATATTTCTTTCAAATCTAAAAACTAATTCTCACGCCGGAGGTAAAACAGGGGAGAAAGCCCCGCCTTCATTTTTCAGGTCTCGCATACTTGACGGAGTAATGGAAACGCCAAACACTACCGGACAAACAGAAGGGTGTTGTTCCACCGCCCTTTCATTGGCGCCGTCTGTGGAAATCTCATTTGAACTAAAAAGCCATGTCAAGAAGACGAACAAAAAGTGATACTTGCCTGGTTGAGAACATGGCGGAGACGGAGTCGGATTCAGTTACAAGGGGTCATGAACCACCACCGCCCCTGCAGTATGTGACGCAGAGTCAATTCAGTACTTTGGAGAACCAGTTGGCAGCAATAATGGTGCTCTTACAAGACCAGTCGCAGAGAACCACCATCCCTCATTTAAGCCCGACAGAAGTGACGAATCAACAACCGCCTCAAGCGCCACCCGTAGCTGTCCCACCCATTTCTCAGTGGGGAGCGGGAGACGCGGGAGCCCCAATGACCGTAGCTCAACAGCCCCCACAAACCATGGTAGACCTGGAACGAAAGATGGAAGAAATCATGTCCCAAAAGATAGACGATGCATTGTCCAAGAGAAAAGATAGGCGGAGACAGATGGTTTTGGAAGAAGACCCGTTCGTCCCAGAAATCATGGCGGTCCCTTTGCCTAAAGGCTTCAAACAGCCCATGATTGAAGCCTATGATGGAGTCACGGACCCGCTTGACCATCTACGAACCTTCGTGGATCTTATGAGACTTTATGCCGCCCCGGACGCAGTGATGTGCCAATCCTTTCCCCCCACACTTAGGAGGGAGGCTAGGGACTGGGTAGCAACCTTGGCCCCGCGCTCTATCAAGTCATTTGATGAGCTCTCCAGGAGCTTTGTGGTTTACTTCCTAAGCAGCAAGAGGAAGAGGAAGACAGCCATTGGGATGATGCAGGTTGTACAGGACAAAGACGAGTCATTGCAGAAATACTTAGCTAGGTTCAGCCGGGCAACTCTTGGCATAAGAGACCTACAAATGTCCGCAGTGGTTACAGCCTTGATGAATGGAATGTGAAACCGGGCCTTTAAGACGTCACTCTCCAAGAACCCCCCCCCCCGGAGTCGATGCATGACCTATTAAAGAAGGGAGACAAGTATGTCGATGTGAAGGAAGCGGAGAATGTAACTAAAAATCTCAGGGATGGAAGGGAGACGGAAGCTCATAAGCGAAAAACATGTGACGAGCAAAGGCACAATGATAAAAATAAGCCGAAGAATGAATGCACGAGCAAGGGTTATGCCCAGGATCGGTCAGTCAGGCAAAAACGAGAGGAGGTCAAGACACCCACCCCTTTGAACATTCCACGAACAAAGTTATTGATGGAGATACAGCACATGAAGGAGCTCGAATGGCCCAAACCAATGCTAACCCCTTCGGGCAAGAGAAATCAAAGTAAATACTGTCATTTTCATAGAGATCACGGGCATGATACCGAAGAATGCCTACAGTTAAAGGAAGAAATTGAGCGCCTGCTGAGACGGGGACTATTGGCAAAGTATGTGAAAAATGATAAGGGCACGCAAAGGGTCGAAGGTCTATCCCCACCAAGGGCAGGAGTGATAAACATGATCATCGGAGAAGTAGCATCGGGCGGTGACTCAAATTCAGCTAGGAAGAGATATGCGCGTTCAGTAGGGGTCTACTCTATTCATAAAAAACAAGATTCAACCAGAGTATAACTTTCGATGAAGAGGACTTGATTGGTGTAACACACCCCCATGATGACGCCTTAGTAATAGTAGGAGATATTGCGAATTTTGATGTGAAGAGGGTGTTAGTCGACAAAGGGAGTGCGGAAAATGTCCTCACCTGGGATGCTTTCTTGGGTCTAAAAATCCCCCAAAAAAGGTTGAAGGTGGTGACTACCCCCCTACAAGGCTTTGGAGGAGCAACAGTGATACCGGAAGGGACTGTAGAGCTTTCAGTCACCCTTGGGACATACCCAGCGACAGTGGTGATCATGACTAATTTCTTGGTTGTCAAGACCCCTATGGCTTACAACGCTATCTACGGCCGGCCATTGCTAAATGCAGCTGGCGCGGTCCCATCGACCTACCATCAAATTATGAAGTTCCCAACCAGCAGGGGGATCGGGAGCATGCGAGGAGACCAGCATGCATCAAGAAAGTGCTATGTGGATAGTATACAAGCCAAAAGCCCACCATCAGTCATGATGCTGGATGTAGAACTCCCGAGGGAGCGGATCAAGCCACTTGATATGATTGAAAAAATCTTTATTGCCAAAGGAAAGGAGTTTCTTGTTGGAACAGGTCTGGGATCTGAAGAGAAGGATAAATTGGCGAAGTTTCTAGCCGGTAATTTGGATGTCTTCGCTTGGAACCCAAAGGATATTCCGGGGATTAGCCCAACTGTCGCGCAGCACCGCCTCGGTGTCCAGCCAGGGGCTAAGCCAGTGAAGCAGAAAAAGAGAAACCTTGCCCCTTAGAGGCAGGCTGCGGCCAGAGCAGAGGTGAAAAAATTGCTACAGGTGGGTTTTATCCGAGAGGTGCAATACCCCGAGTGGTTGGCAAATATTGTACTTGTGAAGAAGTCAAACGAAAAATGGCGCATGTGCATAGATTATACTGGGTTGAACAAGGTATGCCCAAAAGACTCATACCCGCTTCCCAGAATAGATCAACTGGTAGATGCAACGTCGGGTCATGAAAGGCTCAGCTTTCTAGATGCATTTTCGGGATATCATCAAATTTCAATGGCCGAGTCCGATCAAGAGAAGACGTCATTTATCACGGACTTCGGCATGTACTGTTACACAGCCACGTCATTTAGTTTGAAAAATGCAGGAGCAACGTATCAGAGGATGGTGAACAAAGTCTTTCTTGGGCTAATCGGAGGTGTCGTAGAAGTCTATGTTGACGATATGGTGGTCAAGAGCGCCAAAGCCGATGACCATGTGGCCTGTTTGAAGAAAGTGTTTGACGTTGCCCGACAAAATAGATTAAGGTTCAATCCAGAGAAGTGTGTTCTTGGTACCGCAGGGGAAAAATTTCTAGGGTTCATGATCACGCAAAGGGGCATCGAAGTGAACCCGGACAAAATTCGGGCAATCCTAGAAATGAAAAGCCCCACCAGCAGGAAGGAGGTTCAGAGGCTGACGGGGCGGGTAGCGGCCTTAAATCGTTTCATGAGCCGGGCGGCGGACAAATGCTACCACTTTTTCAAAGCTATAGGGGCTCCTCCAATTTTGAGTGGACCCAGGAATGTGAAGAGTCTCTTAGGAACTTGAAGCAGTCATTACAAGAGCCCCCGATCTTGACCAGCCCATCTCCTGGGGACGTGTTATGTCTTTACTTGGCAGTATCACCAAACGCAGTCAGCGCTGTCCTGGTGAAGGAGTTCTCAAAGGCGCAAAAACCAGTCTACTATGTGAGCCAAGTATTGAGGGGCGCAGAGATAAGATACAGCCTGACTAAACAGCTGGTGTTTGCATTGGTTGTCGCGGTCAGGAAATTGAGACCTTACTTTCAGTCTCACACGGTGCAAGTAATGACTGACCAACCTATCAAGCAGATTCTACATCGGCCCAAGACCTCTGGGAGGTTGTTGAAATGGGCCATTGAGTTAAGTGAGTTTGATATCGAATTCAGGCCAAGGACAGCTATTAAGGCACAGGCTCTAGTAGACTTCATCGTCAAGCTCACCACCCCGCCAAGCACCCACCAGGGGAATAGGCAGATTGGAAAATTTTTGTCGATGGATCTTCAAACGACGAAGGATCGGGGGCAGGGATCATAATGATAGGTCTGAATGAGGAAGAGTTGGAATACTCGCTGCATTTTGAATTCCCTGCTACAAATAACGAGGCCAAGTACGAAGCAGTAATCACGGGTTTGGGATTGGCAGCCAGACTCGGGGTAACCTCAGTGGAAATTTACAGCGACTCTCAATTGATAATTGGGCAAGTGACGAGGGAATTCGAAGCAAAGGACGGAAAGATGGCTGCATATTTAATGGAGGTCAAAAACTTACAGAAGGGGTTCACCAAGTTTAAGATAACTAAGGTCCCCCGAAAGGACAATGAGCGAGCTGACGAGCGGCTAAGCTCGCATCCGCCAACCCCAGACGATTGCCTCGCACAGCCAGTGTGCAAATTCTGCGACAACCTAGCATCCAACACGTAATCGATGTTATGAATGTAGAGAATGAGGAAAGTTGGATAGACCCGCTGTTTGAATATCTCACAAAGAATAAATTGCCGGAGGATGCTCTCACAGCAAGAAGGCTAAAAGTTCGGGTAGCCTCATTTGCCATCATCGATGGGCTACTCTACAAGCAAGGTTTCACAATGCCATATTTGAAGTGTTTGCGATCGACAGAAGCACAGGAGGTGCTAGTCGAAGTACATGCGGGAATTTGTGGCAACCACCAAGGGGCGACTACCCTTGCGTTCAAGACGCTTCGACAAGGATATTATTGGCCTAGTATGAAGGAAGATGCTAGAGAGTTGGTGAGAAAATGCGATGCATGCCAACGCCATGAAAATCTGATCCACATTCCAGTCGAGCAACAGACGGCAGTTTTCAGGGTGTGTCCCTTCTTCCAATGGGGGATGGACATCTTGGGACCTTTTCCCCTGTCTAAAGGACAAAGGAAGTTCTTGCTAGTTGTCGTAGACTATTTTACTAAGTGGGTGGAGGCTGAGCCCTTGGCCACCATCACGACTACAAAGATACAGGGATTCGTCTGGAAAAATATCATATGCAGGTTTCGTATACCTCGGGTAATCATTACAGATAATGGAAAACAATTCGATAATCACAGTTTTAGAGCCTTCTGCACAAGTTACCACATCGACCACAGGCTGACTTCAGTTGCTCACCCACAGGCAAATGGACAGGCTGAAGTGACCAACCAAACCATACTATGGGATTTGAAGACAAGGTTGGAAAAAGAAAAAGGACTTTGGGCTGAGGAATTGCCCAATGTACTATGGGCATATCACACTACTCCCCGAGAATCGACCGGGGAGACGCCATTCAAACTGGCCTTTGGAATGGAAGCCGTGGTTCCGATTGAGATCTTAAGCGAGACAGGAAGGATGAAAGTCAAGCAACCCGACGACGCAGCGACTAGGGGAGAACTCGACCTCCTTGAAGGTGTAAGGGACAAGGCGGCGATAAGAATGATGGCTTATAAACGAAGAGCCGCTGAGTACTTCAACCGGAGAGTGAAGCCAAGGGTCTTCCAGCCAGGAGATCTCGTGCTAAGAGATGCAGCAGCGGCAAGACACCCCCCACTAAAGTTTGGTCCAAACTGGGAAGGCTAGTACGAAGTAATCCGCAGGCTGGGGAAGGGAGCTTACAGCTTGAAAGATATGAAAGGAAGGCCGCTAGGTAGACCATGGAATGCAGAACACCTCAAAAAGTATTACCAGTAGAATTCGAAATGTACGCGCCGGCTGCGCTTTTGTAAATATTGTAGATTAGGTTGCATTGTTTATTTTCTCTATGTAATGCCTCACGAAGGCACCCTTAGTTGGAACAATTTATCTTATTCAATGAAAGACCTTGGCGGTGACGGATGATGAGGGCGCTACGGAAAGGTCAGCCTAGCTGGGACGTCCCGGTGCGCCTACTGAGCTCACAAGACCAAGAATTTTTTATGCCAACAGACAACTTTGAAATCCACGCTCATCCCACAAAGACATGATATCGGCGTAGCCTACGAGGCTAGGTGGAGAGCCTTTAAAAGTCAAAAAATTGGCTAAGGCCCTTAACCACCAAATCACCCCCTGCGGTCGACGTAGCCTACGCGGCTAGGTGGAGAGCCTTTAAAAGTCAAAAAATTGGCTAAGTCCCTTAACCACCAAATCACTCCCTGCGATCGACGTAGCCTACGCGGCTAGGTGGAGAGCCTTTAAAAGTCAAAAAATTGGCTAAGGCCCTTAACCACCAAATCACCCTCTGCGGTCAACGTAGCCTACACGGCTAGGTGGAGAGCTTTGGAAAGTCAAAAAATTGGCAAGGCCCTTAATCACCAAATCACCCCCTGCGGTCGACGTAGCCTCCGCGGCTAAGTGGAGAGCCTTGGAAAGTCAAAAAATTGGCTAAGGCCCTTAACCACTAAATCACCCCCTGCGGTGGACGTAGCCTACGCGATTAGGTGGAGAGCCTTGAAAAGTCAAAAAATTGGCTAAGGCCCTTAACCACCAAACCACCCCCTGCGGTCGACGTAGCCTACGCGGCTAGGTGGAGAGCCTTGAAAAGTCGAAAAATTGGCTAAGGCCCTTAACCACCAAATCACCCCCTGCGGTCGACGTAGCCTGTGCGATTAGGTGGAGAGCCTTGAAAAGTCAAAAAATTGGCTAAGGCCCTTAATCGAAAAATCACCCCCTGCGGTCGACGTAGCCTACGCGACTAGGCAGAGAGCTAAAAAAAAAAATATATATATATATATATATATGAACACTCCCCCGCACCATCAAGCAGTAAAAAGAAAAATAACAGGAGAGACGACAATTTAAATGAACCACGCATCCAGCGCCAATGATATCGAATGAAAAACGTGTTTATACATTCGAAGAATTCTTGCCCACATCCCAGGCAAGTAGGAGATAACAAGGCTAAACAAAAGTAAACACTAAAAAGGAAAAACTAGCAAAGAAAACAACAACTAAGAAATGCTTCAGTTCGAAGGGGAGGCATCCCCACTACCACCTCGTGATGTACGACTGAGTGATCTGGATGACTGAGCTACACTCTCCTTCCCCTTGCATTGTGCAAGAAATCTATCCAGACTGGAGGGGTCTATAGAAGGATGTTCGGCCATAATCCACTCCTTGGAGAGCTTAATTGACGCTGACATTGCCTTCCCCCCCGTATGAGTTCAAAGCCTTAGCATAATCGGACGATGTCTTATACTGATCCACAAACGCCTTGAGATCTCCAGCGTACTCATCTAAGGCCTTGTACCTCTCAACCGCCTCTTCAGGAGCACGAGCCAAAACAGAACGTAGGTTGTCGATCTTCGTCTCCTGCTCATGAGCTCGAACATCCGATGTCTCCAGAGGCTTCCTCAGGAGGATATTTTCTTCTTGTGGTGATGAGCCTCCTTTTTCTTTTCTTCAGTAAGAGTTTTTAGCTCTGAGACCAGGCGGCGATTTGACTCAGCGAGTCCGGTCTGGAGGGCCACCACCTAAAAAAAATGTATAGGGAGAAGAAGAATGAAGCCGTGAGTTAAAACCTAACTTAAAAGGCGAGATCCAACATAAAAGAAATCTCGAAATGGGAAACATACCCTCTGGAGGCAAACAGCCGCAGCCCTTTCAATGTCATCTACGCTACGCCCTACAATCGCTCTGGATCGAGTGGGGGTCACCAACGACTTAAGCACCCCCATCTCATGATAGCCCCGGGTAGAAGGAAACTCAAAGTTAGGAAGCGAATCCTCACGCTCGCAACGTGCACAACTGGGAGCTCCCGGCCT